CTTTTATATTGTACCATGGCAACTTTTGGTTAAGTATAAGTGAAACAATGAAGTTGTCTCCTGGCTGGACACTTGCCAGCATAGATTAATTTTATGGCTTAGTATCACTGGGTATACTGTGTTTATGATATTACAGCTGTTCCTGTAACTGCTTCATCTTTTCATAAATAAGATACTGATTTCCTGAGTTTAAAGTAACTGGTGACAAAGATACCAGAATCTCATTTGGCTAGAAATCAGCTTGCTAAACCAGGTGATATAATGAATGTGCTGTGGGCTTTATTTGTATTGGTGTGCATGGTCTTTAATCACCTTAAAAAATATGAGCAATGAGTAGAGAATAAAACACTAAGCAAAAGTCTTTGGTTAGGCTGCCATTCTTCAGCCTTAGAAATGAGATCAAAGAAGGTGTTAGGAAAGAAAATAAATGAATCTTCTCTGCCCCTTGAAATGTTCTGTTCATCTTTTATTACTTGGTAGTAAGAAGGAATAGAAACCTTGAATTAATTGGTTAATTAGAAAGATTTAGATGGAGTATTTTGTCAATATGTAAATATATTTTGGAGAGGGAGAGATTGTTTCAGTCCTCATTTAAAATGGGACAGCTGAAATAGGCATTCTGTAAATCTCCAGGTAATCAACTGCAAGAGAATTAAACCCACAAATTCAATAATGCTTATCATTCCTCTTTACAATTATTTTTCAGCTTAGACATTTATTGGAGTAATTCCGAGCCCTAGCTTTACTTCTATTTAGCCTTACCCTATCTGCTGCCGTTAAAATCACACAGAACAGCACTCGTAGAGCAGGAGATCCTCGTCTCTTCGTGATAGGTTACAAGAGGTCTTTTACCTGCGTACAGCCGTTTGCACAGGTGCTGGTAAAATCCTGCTGCTGTTTGTGGCCATTCCCATAGCAGGACAGCTGCAAGGCAGGCGTTCGTCCTCCGCCTCGGGAGCTGAGGTGTGATCATTTCCATGGCCCGCACTTGATGTCTGCTGCATCCCAAAATGCTTTTCACGGCTAGACGTGTTTATAAGGGAGGATTAAACTTTGCAGAGGTATTTTGTCCTTCCAAAGGACACTTACTGACTTCAGAACGTAGACACAGAAGGATTCTCTCCCCATTTTTGCTCACATTTTTAATTTCTGTTCTTATTCACAGTGGATTTTATTCATACTCATTCATGCCAACACAACTTGTCTGTGTTGTTTAAAGGAGAAGTCCTAGCGAGAAATAAAATGAAGAATCCTTTGCTTTAACAAGTATGAAAAAAATTAAGATGATTTACAAAGAAAACAGAGACGATCGAGCAAGGTTTCACCTCTTGTAATTCAATCAACTTCAGTGGGAATTGCGAGTATTCAGCTCTGGCCGAGTTTCAGAAGAGGCAGTGGAAGTGGCTCTGCTCACTTAATAAGCTTTGAATTGTGCTGTATAGATTTAACAGCAGTTGATGCATAGCTGCTTTACAGAATAGTCAGCCTAGGGAAACAGATAATTAACGTTTTTGTGTGGAGCCTATTTTGTGCCGTTCAAGAAGTGTCAGTGTATCTACCTACCAGGAGCTTTTTGGAAATCAAACATTCTTTGTCTGCAATTAATTCCGTTGAAATACCAGTTGAAAATTAAAACATAAATGTGTTTGAAAGGAAGACATCACAGAAAATAAAGCAAGCTTCAAAGCTATAATACTTGAGAAATAAGCATACTTTGAACTTGCTTGTGTCTTAGCTTCAGCCATGCTGTGCTTGGAACTATAAAATTGTTCCTGTACATGAAGACCTGTGAACTACAGATTCAGGTTGAAGGAGTGAAAACTGCTAGCCAGGGTAAGTGAGAAGTAGTGATCAATAATGTAGGAAGTAAAAAATGAAGCGTTGTTAAACATCATATGGTATTTCATAGTTCTGTTAGAGAAAAATGTTTTTCTGTAGAAATCTTTAATAAAGTGAAAACGTGTCAGAAAAGAGTTGTACTTTTGGCATTATCTCTTTGCATACAGTATAGATTCAGAGCAGACACAGGTTTCACTTCTAAGCCTCATGATTTCCAAAGACTGTAAAAAAATATGACAAAAAACATTAATTCCCTGAATACTAGAATCAGTGGGGCTGGAAAATATTTTTTCCAGTATTCAGATGTGTATAAATATTACAGTGTAAGTGGTGACTAATATAATGTAAGAAATGATCTTTCAAACTTAGTGAATGACTGAAATTTTCCGAATTTGGTTACTTCCTAGCAAAAAACCCAAAATCTGGAATCTGACAGCCAAACTCCATTTTAAAAATATTATTCTCCCCAGGTAGTGGCATTGGCTTCCATGAGAGTTTTAGTAGAAGGGAAGGATATGGCAGAGCAAGGCGAATTCTGGATCCAAGCAATAATTACTAGTTGTTAAGACACTTGGGAATTTATCTGCCGCACACAAAACTGATAGAGAGAAAATGTAGCCTTGAGATTTAGCATTTTCAGTGTTGTCTTAAATTCGCAGACAGCAGGAGATGTGTTCATTTTTATTTTTCATTCAGAAAGTACTTGTTTATGAAATGGCAAAATAATGTGAATACACAGTTCCAGGAGGAGAAAAGATATGGGTAATGTATATCTTCTGTCTTGGCTTGATTCAGGGACATCTGTGACTTCATAGACAGATCAGCCTTCAAAAAAAATCTCCTGCAATAGCTTTGCAGCACCCTCTTATCGTGTTCCTTGATAACAGCATATGTGTGAAAATCATAGTCTGCTTTTTTTTTGGTTATGAAGATGAAAAGTCATTTAGAAAATATGAAAATATCACTGTAAATTTTAGTACTTAAATACTACCCAATAACTTGGCTTCTATGCACATGTATTTCCATATATGCATAATCTGAAGCCTGTGACTAATCATACTGAACTCAATGGTATGTTTATGGGATTAAGGCATCTTTACTTCTGGGAATTCAAATTATTCTGGGAATAATTTGATAATTTTTCCTTCTTAGATGTATGCAAATTTTGTACATGCTTCTGAGCTGTCATGTGTAGAAAAGGTAAAAAAAAGTTAGAGGTAGTAGAGGTAGTCCACAATTTCTGAGCCTTGGAATGCTTGAGGGAGTCCCCCTCTGTTTACTGCAGCAACAGCTGTCATTCAGCTGTGAGACTTGGAGCTGCGGAAACTGTGCAGGAAAGAAAAAGTATTAATTCCTAGTATATTAAAAAAAAAAAAGACACTTTAGATCAAAATTCCTAGCTGAATTTCTTGATTCCTGATGTCCTGAGAGAATTATTTTCAAATTAATTGTAATATGCAAACATACTGCTTGTACATGAGAGTGATTTATGGTAATTGGAATACTGATGGGAAAAAATTCTTTTAGACTATTTAATGAGCACCTGTGAAATTATGGAATGCATGCACGAGCATCCCGGGTATTTGCTGGGGAGATTTTCTTTCCACGGCTCTGAGACTTGGGCGTCATTATTTAGACATAAATTGAGAGCCTCTTTCAGAAGGCAAGCAGGTATTTGGTACAAGTTCATGGGACAGCTGATGTAAATAATTGCTCAACAGTGTAAATAAGGAGCTTACAATCTGGCTGTATTTTATTATTTATTAGTACTTACTATAATTTATTGGTCTTGTTTCAAACAGTGAAGTTAAAAGTAAAATGAGTTTCTTTTCAAAATAAGGAAGAAATACAGCACCATATGTTGTGCCAATGGAGCTCTGTCTGATATAGTGCTAATACATTCCTTCCAAGGCCTCAAGACATTTTACAACATTTTTAGCACCAGTTTCTGCAGTAATGACTAACTTCTGCAGGACAGAAAATTAGATTCCTTGGGAGGATGTGAAATGATCAGGAAAGGAAAGAGCCCACATTATCCAAGAAGCTATTAAGTTAGCAGGATTTTAATGCCAGGACAATTAATACTCTATGAGAAATAAATCAACTAGAACAATATATAATAAGCAGAAAACATTCTCGTTGTCTTTTTATAGTATTGAAAATGTAAACACTACATGTCAGCAGATGCAGTGGGCTAGTTTCTATCAAAACATGGATTTTCTCCTATATATTTTTCGGCTGATGACATTGGAAACATTGATAGCTGATTCTGGCTTTGGTGGGAGGAATTATGAGCTTAGAGTATAAAGAAAAGACTAAAACAAAGCTCACCGAAACGCCTAAGGTAAAGCTCACTGTAATCAATCAGTTTCTTGACTTTGGCAGTCCTTGAATCAATGTTTTAATATGAGGAACACTGTATATAAAGAAGTATGGATAAGCTGACAGTAGAACGGGGGCGCTTATTGTTGTTTTCTTTTCTTTTGCAATTGAGATTTTTAAAAAAGGCTGTGAAAGTATTTGTGTAATTATTATTGTGTAGTTTTTCCCATATATTTCAATTATGCTGTGTGTGTCTTAGGTAAACTAAGACAAGAAGCAATTAAACCCACAATCAAACAGAAAGGGAATACAATTTCAACTCTCCAGTTTTATTTATTTATTCATTTTTCACATGATCTATATTTTTAATAGCATTGATTAGCTGGATACATTTGTGCTTTCTTTGCTCGGTGGCCTTTCTCCAGAACAAGGATCTGAAAATCTCTAAGACCAGAGTCTAACACATTCCATTCAAAAGGGGTCTTTTCAGCATATTAAGCTGAAGCTCAATCAGGAAATATCTTGATCATACTTCATGTCTGCTGATTTCCAAAGGTGGTGTTGATACTTTGTAGGCTTAGGCCTTAGGAAGGTTGTAGATTACCTTGCTTGGAAGTGTGCCTGTGGCTTCACAATAGTGAAGGTAAATATTTTCCAGGAAAAAAAAACAACCTTGTAAATAGCCCCATGGTTGCTTGAATGAAATTAGCGTAAAGGTAAATGTCAGAGCAAAACTTATTAAGGAAAACCATTTCGATTAAGCTTACTTCATACACTGGCATGCCTACAAATTAATAGTATCTTTTCTTATTCTTTTTCTGTTTGTTCCAATAATGAAGGAATCATCTACATGCTGCAGGTCATATCTGTGTTCTTAAAGATGCTTTCATGTATGAAAGTCCAACTGAAATCGCAAATCTAACCTCCACAGACAAGTTTGATGCAGCCCTGGCCATTCATCTTTATAAAGGAGGCAGACTCCTGCAAGGTAATCCTCTTTCTATTTTGCAATAAAAATGCCTCTTAAAAAGAGAAGAGAATGAATACAGTTAGAAATGGCGATAAATGTATGAGCCCACACATAATGTAGTTATTCTGTTTATCCACTCCAACAAATGTTCAGAAATACTGAAAATCTTTCTCTGTGGGAGATCTGATCGAGAGAGGAGAGAACTAAGTAAATGTACTTTTAAAGCACATAGTGCATTTCATAATTAAGTACTTTAACTACATGAAGATAAGAGCACTATATTAACATTAAGTTACTTTCAAGAAATGTGTTCTTTCAGAGGACAATGGCTTGGCTAAGTGTAGCTGAGGTCAAATAGAAGAAAGCAGAGAGGCTAATTTGATTTTTCTGCTCAATAATGAGTCGGGGTTTTTTTGACATGAAATAACTGAGATGTCGTTCATGCCAGCTAAACTGTAGGAGGCAGGATGTTATCAGACAAATAATAAAATTTTCTATTGTATCTAGCCATGTAGAACAAAATTTTAGCCTGCCATTAATGATACCCTAGAAGCACTGGCTTTCAAAATTACAGACGCTGTCACCTACTGAAATTATTAACTGTCTATCCATTTTTGAGATCACCTTTGCATTGTACAAATCTATTCACTTGGACAAAGGCACATAATTTGATACTTTCATCAGATCTCAGTATAAATTGTGTTGTGCTTGTTTTCAGACTTTGGAAGTCTACTCGCAATTTGTGCTGTGGGTTTTCAGAAAGCCTGAATTACTACGTCTGGCATGCTTTTTGTTTGTTCTTTTATTTAGTAATGAGGAAATTAGCCATGTTAATAAATCCTCATCTTACAGCTCACTTAATTGTTCAAATATAAATGTAGAACATATAGTATGTTTTCTGTCTTTATCCACATATTTATTTCATTCTACATTTGCTTTAAGAGTTCCTTATTTGCTTGTTTTTAACTATGAATTTTAATTATGAGAGTTCACTGAATTGAACCTGTCATTTTCCTCCCACTCCTTAAGACACTGTGGGGAGCTATAGAAAGTTTCACCACTAGATTTCACGGCCATGAACATTCAAGGTCAGTTACATTATCTCTCAGAAGGAAGAACCTCCATCAACACGGTAACCTCCCTCTAGTATCCTGCTTGTTGGTCCAGTGCTGAAGACAGTGTTGTCTATTGAGTCTTTGATCCCTCTCCCCTTCTATCCCATCACAAAAAGGAAAAAACAAAGTATGTTTTCTGACTTTCTTGATACACAGTGTGTAGTGACAATACAGCCTAACTGCTTATTCTTGTTCACAGTCAGAAGGAAACCTTGGCTTCATCTGTTACAGCTAACAGAAATCTGCAAAATCCACAAAATTGATCACCTTAATTACAGGTTTCATAGACTGCCTTGCTGGAGACTTTTCTTTTGCAAAACTGCAGTCTCATTTGGAATTTAAAACTATGTTCTGCATGTAGTAATTAGCCACCGTGAGGCTGTTACTTGTTAGCTTAATGTGGTGTAAAACTGGCCACTTAATTGGTTTCAGTGCTGAAACAATCAACAGTAAACATTATTGTCTGCTATCTTGATTAGTTTAAGGGGAGGACATTGCTGGTAACTTGTCAGGTTACTAAAAATAACCTGAGTCCAAGAAAAGAAATACTACTGGAAAGGAATCTTGCACTACTATTGGCTTTTGTATTTTCATCTAAGTAGTCTTTGGCCTTGTCCAAGTAAGTCTGGCCGCTGTTAGCATAGAGGTGCTACACTACCCTGTTTTAGTGGCTTTATCCTTATGCAAATAGGGATTTATTCTGATGCTGTGTACCAAAATCAGGCTTTTACCAGAGTGCAGACACCACTAGGATATATATGATTTTGTTGATATTCCAAAATTTGAACGTTGGTCTTGTCCCACAGCCAACATGCCTTCCTCTACTCTTACTGCTCTGAGCACTGTAAGGCCTCCTAAACCAACTTTCATAACTTGGGTGATCACAGAAGGTTTTGTAACAACCAATTATAAACACAGATCCATCTTTTGGGGTGGAATTAGACAAAACAATGGTTTTGTTGCAGGTTCACATATACTGCCTTATTTAATTTGATGACCTTTTCCAATAGTGTGGCTCCATCTCCATTTTTGTAGCTGTAAAATCAACTTCAGAAGTCAATATTTGAAAAAAATTAAATAAATTCAGTAACCAGCTTTGCAGGATGGTTACCCAAACCACTGTATTGGAATGCTTGAGGGGGAAGAGAATGTGTGGCTGAGGCTAAATACCTGGGACCAAACTTTGCAGTATTGCATCTTATTAAAACATGAATAACATTTAAAATATATATGCTGTTTGGTGGCCTGCCCAGTGTAGAAACTAGTTGATTGTTTTTACTAAGCATGGAAAAGGCAAAGAAAATCTCATAAATTGACATGCTTTGAAAGTGCATAGTTATTGTATGGGTTTTTTTCATTGACAATACCATAAAAATTCAAGTTTCGCCAGGTTTCTTTTTCAAAGGCTTTTGCTTACATATGTGATACACCATTATTAATATACTTTTTCACTCTTAATGTCCCCTTCTGGTCATTACCTTGACATGTTGGCCAACTTCTCATCATAGTCATTGCTTTGCAGGTAGCAGAATTCCTTTTGGAATCATCTTTGGTGGGACGGATGTAAATGAAGATGTCAAATATGAAGAGAAACATCGTGTAATGGGAGCAGTGCTAGAAGAAGCCAGGTAACAGCATGTATGGAGTATTTATGACAGGAAATTGCATTTTTGTAGTGGCAGGCAGATCTTTTAGAAACTTCTATAAATGCTTAGAATCACTGGGAGATGTGCATGCCGGCAGACAAAGGATAGGCTACTTGAGATCCCTATGTATTGTTTTATGGTTCAGTGATGGAAGCAGAACAGTTTTGTCATAAAATATAGTCTGCATGCAGTCTATTACTTTTGTATTTCCTCTGTAACGATTGTTTCATCGTATTTGTCCGTTAAGAGCTGGCAGAGGTAGTGCTGAAACTTGGTCTCTTGGGCTGTGCATTTTCAAAAAGACTCAAATCCCAGTAAAAGCTAATGAAATCTATGCTCTTGCTAACTAATCCTGTGCTTTGTCTACTGAATCGTAACTGTTTTCTAGAATCAGAGAACTATGTATGTGATGAGTATATAAAATTCTAGGGCAGGTAAAAGAAATCGGAAGAATAATAGCAAGAATACTTAACCTGGGATTTGGCAGCATATTGCTCTGTAGAATAATCTACTTTATGTGTAGGCATTATAAAGGCAGCCTTTGATGGTTAGTATAATTGTGGACTGTAGCAACTTGACTGTGGTTTATTTGACATGTTCATAATGGATACAATTTTCTGCAATGATGTTTTAATTTCTTACCAAAATTATTTTAAGCTGTTTATAATTGCAGAGATTTAGGTAAAGAAGTGCATATCTAAATATCTCCAACAGTATCCATACAGTTCTCATTTGTACAGAGCTATCCTGGTCATGAAATGACTGATATTTGGTATTTAAATAGTGAATTTTTAGTTGTGATGAGTTAGTGGTAGAGGTATGATTATTTAAATAGAAAATCTTTGTTGATGGTGGAGGTATAAATACTCTCATTAAATCTTGTTGTAGTAATATTATTAGCCTAAACAAGATTGGACCTCATTTGCCAAGGCCCTGTGCCAAAAGTGGTAAATATTGCTCCAAGTTGTTGTTTTAAAAACTCTGTTTCTTAGTAAATTTGGGTTTATGTTACATATATTCAAGCATATAAAATATCCTGTATCAGAACAAAGATATTTTATGCGTTAAGTGCTATCTGCACATACAGACCAAGGTGTCCAGCGGTTTGACTTAAGTGAGATGACAACTAAAAATAACTGGCATTTGTCCTGTTGCATCACGGAGTCAAAGCTGTTCTCAGAGGCCTCGCATTTAGCTTGTTGACAGAGAGCTTCATTAAAAAGGAGGTGACTCAAGTATAAAGAGCTTTTGTTCCTTTTTTTCCTGCTAATGTGATTCTTTCTTGAGATACATGAACAAAGAAGCAGGGACTGAAAAAAGTCTTTAAGCAAATTCTCAATGTTTTAGGTGAATTGACAAGGGAGTATTTTCAGGGTGTTTTAAAGTCTGAAAAAGTTCTAGTGACATGTCAGTGTAGTCATCAAATGTAGTTCAAGAACTGATCAGAAATCAGAGAAAATAGCTAAAAACCAAAAAAGTTTTCCCAGCATTTCTCATTGTTTCAACATCCCCAGAAAAAGATACTTCCTTCTGCTTGATCCAAAGGTCTGTTGACTTCAGCAGTGTTTGATCACATCAATGGTGGGCCAATAAGCCCTTTTCTTATTGGAAACTAAAGCATTTTGTGTATGTAAAGCTTCCAGTGGATGAAATTAATTTAATAGATAGCTTAAGTTTTATCAAGATAGAGGCTAGGGTTTGACTTCAGCATAATAGCTCACCAATGGCAGGGATAGCTCTACTGCTACCTCCCCTTTCTGTTCCTCCTGTTTCTCTTGCTTGTGGCTGCGTGATCCACCCTTCCTTGTGCCAGGATTGGACTTCTTTTTAAGCAGGTTTAACTCACTAAATGGCGTAAAATTGGCCCCTTTAATAAGAAAAGTCAGCTTGTGGAAGGAGACGAGAAGGACATCTTTTTGGTGGCAGTAAGTTGATACAGCATGTCGCACAGCCTCATGGAACTGTAGTGTGCCTGAGCTTCTGGTGAATTGAATACTCTGAAGAGTCATCACTCCAGAATTGAGCTCTCTGTGAGTGAAGGGGTCCCCAAGTGTACAAGGCGAGATAAAATTTAAGCATCTGGAACATCTTATCAAATCCAGTGGTCCTGCTTGCATACTTACTCTAGGAGAGCTTAAATACCTTGCTGAACAGAGCTTGCTCAGGATGCTATCTCTGTTCATTCATCACAGCGTTCAAGCTAAGACAGATAAGTACAGTGGTTCAGATACGGCAGTATGGATTTTGGTTCATGTTAGCAAGGAGGAAATGCATACAGAATCTGCAGCAGGCTCTTATCTCGTTGTTTTATCTTTGCTAATACCACTGTATGTTCTTGCTATTATTAGCTAACTGAACACTGGCATGGATATGCTGTTCTGTCTATAGTGCCCTATAAAATGGGGTAGGTAAACAGATTTTAAAGACAGCACTTAATCATGCTCATTGAAAAATCATTAGGGCATGTTCTTATGTCTTAGTGTGACTTGTACTTGAAAAGCAACCTAAGGCCCCATTCAAGACAAAATTTATATCCTTGTTTACTTTTGTTATCAAATAATCAGAAGTTATTCTTTAAACAGGTCTGAAGGAAGAGAAGAAAGGTATTTAATGTGTCAGTTAAATTTCAGCACTGCACAAAAGTATATAAAACCAGAATCTCTAAGTGTGTCCATCTGATCCAGTTCTGTGTTTAAAATGTGATCTGTCACACATATAGCTAATATAGCTTATGCAAAAACTGTGCTTTACTGAATTGTTTTTTAAAGCTAATTAAGTTAGGAACTTGAAGTATAGTTTAGTAGCTTGGGTTTCCTGTGATGTTTCAAAATATATTACTGCATCCTTATGCAGTGCATAATAGTTTCTCTGCTACAGGAAAAATAATTCCGTTTTCTAGCAGTTATTCTGAATGGATCTCTTCTCCAGTATTATCCCTAGTATTATTCATTGCATAGTTATTAAAAGAAACATTGATTTTTTTTTTTTCCTTTTTGTCTTTATTGATTGCAGGTTCTAAGCAGGAAGTATCATGAATTGTAGATTACTTGTCCAGTACGATATACCACCACATTCCGTAAAACAAAGTATTGAACACTGTCTAGCTTTACAATGAGTGTCTCATTTTTAATCAAATTCCTCTAAATTGTGGTTGTACTCCTCTAGGGTATTTTTTTCTATTGAATAGTATTTTGTAGACTTGGGAGCAACAGTTTTTTCTCCTTGTTAATGTGATGTATTGAAAATATAATTGCAAAAACTGGAAAGGGACCTTGTGCAAGCATTTGCAAAGGCTTGAATAACCTTAAAGCTGTCAAGTTGTATATGTGAAATTCATTGTAGTACCATAAAGCAAATAGTACAAAACAAATGTATGGGAATAAGGTTTGTTTTAACAAACAAAAGTAGGAGTTATAATTCAGGATTTATGTGACTTCTAATGAATGCTTGTGATTTCATGTCCTCAAATTATAACATAACATCTCCAATGGAAAAGCACTGCTCTGGTTGTGACTTAGCAATGTGTTTCATCTCTGACCATTGCTATGTCGTAGGGTTGGCTCAGGACAAAAACGCTACATTAATCCTGTGAAAAAGAAACCGAATCAGAAGTGTAATATGTCATAACCCCTGTTTTATATTCAATATCTGAAGAGGGCTATTGCAACTTGCAGTGATGAGAAACAGGGAATGCTAACTCACTACTGCAGCTGTTTATATTAATCTAGATAACTTGTGCGTGTTCCTATTGTTTGGATTTTCTCTTACTTTAAGAAATCCTCGGTTTAACTCCCCAAAAGCTCTAAGTTGTAAAGCCTGAAGAGATACCATTTGTTTTACCAGTATTTTCTGGTAAAACAAATAGAAAGCCTGCTTTCTGTCTTTCCATCTATAATCGTTTTTATAAGCTTCTGCTCTTTGTTCTTATAAAGATTTTTTTCTGAAGTACTTTTCTGTTTTTATGTTTAAACACTTTAAGCAGATGATCCCAACTATTTTTGTCCATTTAACTAGGTTTGCAGTGGCTTTCACGATGAAAATGAAGGAACTGGCAGCAGCAGAGTGGGTATGTTTACATGATGATGGTCGTGCTTATAGTATTATCAACTATGCATTCTCCTACAATGTTTTCTAAATAGTGCTAGAGAATTGTAATAATCTTCAGATTCTCTATTCCTATTTTTACTTTCAGAGAAAGCATTTCATATTTATGCACTTTGACGGGTCAAATAGATCTGGCATTTAAAAGCTCTTTAGTATGTGAAAAGCGTATATGGCAGTTCAGGAAGTGTCTCTCTAACATTTAAAACTAATCGTTGCTGTTGTTATTGAGTCTCTCCTGATGCCATATGCATATATGGTTTCTCTTTGCATCATTTAATAAACTTTATGTTGCCAAAATTCCACTAAACAACTTTACTTACAATAAAGAATTTGGAAGAATAATTCAAAAATACTTGTTTTGTCAACACTGGAAATAGAATGAACTTCTTAAGGTGAACTGCAGAGCTAAAATTGAAGTTATGCCAAGTCCAGCAATATATGATACACAGCCCTGTTGATGAGGCCTTGCTGAATATGTAGCACATAAATAACACTTGACTTTCTAAACACTGTGCTGAATGATATATGGAAGAATACTGACTAAAATTATTTTCATCCAACAGTATAGTGGTTAAACACATTTAGCAATGTATTTTAAGGGATTGTTTACCTAGCAAAGAACTGGCAGTAATAATGGTTGGTTCTCTTCATTTAGCAGGTACCATTGCATTCACTGTATTGCAAGTCTACTTCAGACATTCAGTGCAATTGTTTTTAGTGCCTGATGCTCCTGTTTGAAAATAGACTGGGTCAACATTTTCACCCTTATGTGGCTGAGTTGATGGCAGACCACTAGTGGAGAAAATTGAGACGAATCCTTGAAGTAGACAGTCCTCACTCCTGGTTTCTGAAGGGCAGAGTAAGACAATAAAGAGCTGCCAGTCATTTGAGAACAAGGAGTGCTTTTGGATAGTGACAGGCTGCGCTGGTAACCTCTGAAAAACTCCACACCAGGCAGCAGGGCTTGCTGATCCAGCTTGATGGCTCAGCTGATTTTCTGTGCAAGGTTAGCTTTCCAGCTGACTTGTTGGCTAAAGACCTTTGCTGGATTACAGAGAGCTTCACTGAGCACCAGATCCAGTGAAGGGTAAGCGGTAACTGTTTGGTGGAGAGTAAGGGGCAACATACTGGGATGAAAAGACCAAGGCTGGACCACTCTCTTCCAGCTGCAGTGAGCTGTTAGCTCCATTCGCCTCATCTTGTGAAACATCAGCTGAAGTTGAACAATAAATGTGAGAAGTAGAAACTAACTGCTTTGTACCTCCTCAGTTCTAATTTGCATCATAATATGGTCATTAATACATCCTTGCCTAAAAATCATCAGTTAGAGGTGGAGCTTGCACAACAGAACAATTTAATATTCAATACTTTGTTTCGGCATAAGCTGATTTTATTTTAGTCTGTTTGCATTAAAAGGATACATGAGCAGACATAGGAGTTGGTATTTATATTACAAATTTAACTTGGTTCTAATAGTTACTCCAATGAACTTCGTGATGGGTAAACACGAAAGGGCACAGCTTCTGTTATAGATCTTATGCAAGAAAAAACCAAAAGTAACACAGTGTAAGGAGGAGAAACAAACTTGAACTTTGAAATCCTTTTGAAATCAGCACCTCGAATGTTTTGAAGTACTTCACTTTGATTGATTTTACCTAAACAACTTTGTGCTCTGGGCTGTGAGACTCACTCAGTGTTTTGGAGAAGGTCTGTGGCAGACAGAGAATTGGAGGCAAGTCTGTCAAGTCCTAAACTGAAATACCAGCATGAATACATCTTTCTATACCTAGGTCACAGAATATTAACACTTTTTATGTATTAACTCACACTAATGTGAACTGCATTATTCCTCTAATGTGTGCTTTATTAGTTAGACAGTCAATTAAGAATTTGAATTACGAACATGTAAGCAATTGCACTGTGCTCAAGGGCTGTATCTTCCAACAAATTCTTTTCTATTACATTGGATAAATTATATTTAATTATGAAGTACATAATACAGCAGTTGTAATAATCTGTATTCCAAGTGAGTTTGAAATACTGTGGAAGATCTTGTGCTTATGGTCAGTGTTTTATTTCAGTAGTTAAAAACTGGTGCATAAGAATTACCTAAGCCAGTTTTATTAGCATTCAATTTCATTTTTCCATTCTCCTCAAGACCATTTAAAATAAAGAACATAACAGAAAATTGATCTATAAAGTATGAATACATCTGTATGCCCTGTTACACTGTATTCCTGCTATTTTTTTCTTGATGATCCAAGCCCTGGCAGGACTATATTTACTCACCATAAGACATTAAAGGTCCAGCAGAGCCTGAAACCAGATGCTTAACTTAAGCTTATTTTTGAAACATAGTGGTTTTAGGGAACTAAAAGCCTATCTTCACCCACCAGTTTGAGGCAGAACTATGCTATATGTCAGCCACGGAGACAAGGCTGGCTTAAGCTGCCCTCTGCCTCATCGGGTTTTTTTGACCTTCTGTTTTGCTGCATCTATGCTCTAGTGCTGAATTTCCTAGCTATCCCACTTGTCCTGCAAATTTCATTTCTGAAGTTGGCCTCCAGCTTGCAATGCTGTCTCCATTGTTTGCAAGGCTTTTTTTAGGATTGGAAGGTCCAAGGTGATTTAAAATGCTATTGATTCATAGGTAAGAGTAGGACCAAGAGATGTTAAGTGATAAAATAACTTATTAAACCATTTTTTTCTTACTTTTAAATGCTTTGAGCACAGAAGTCCGTATAGCTTTTGAAAGATAAGTCCATACAATATCCTTAGTCTTCCACTGTAGCATAAAGTGTTATTTTTCCCGCACGTCATTTATGTGTGGATTTGCTGCTTGTTCATGTAGTTTTTGTGACTTAGTTAATTCACTCTGATTCTCAGAAGCCGCCTCCTTTCCATCTGTGAACCGTTTGCTGATGACTTCACTTTTTTATGAACTCTTTTCTGTCCATTTCTTTCTCCCGTTCATTTTTAATAGGTAAAATAGACTGTTATGACTGGGCAGTGGACTGGAGGGGCAGTCACACAGGAGTGATAGGGGAAAAAAAAATGTTTGCAAGTAAATAAAAAAAAAAATTTGCTTCCTTGGCTGCTTATTTCCTGAGCTGTCTGGTTCAAGGATTGCTTGCTTAACAGTTTATTTCTGCATTCATTCTTGTTCTAATACAAGTCCTCTTCCTGCATTCAAGGCGTTATCCTGCAGGTGTGATTTCACAATCTGCTAAGGATGGGGCGGGGGGTGGGAGAGGAGAAGGGCAGTCTAATGCGCAGCTCAGCGTGATGCACTGGTATGTGGTGCTCTGCCTTGGTTAACTCTGGCTACGTTATTCCAACAACCTTCCCATGAAGAGGCAAGCCTGCGTAGCAATATTTAGCTTGAAGAGTTCAGCAGCGTGTCCTGCTGTTCAAAAGTGAACTGGTTGGAGGGGCAAGCCAGTAGTCCTTTTTCCATCTGCACTGTAGAAAGAACCGTGGCAGGCACATAGTCAGTAACTCAGAGTCGCAGCCTGCTCAGGCTGTGCCTCTACATAATGAAATTGGCACTGAAGGGGAGGCAAGATTTAGTCTCAAGACAGCAAAGACAGGTGCTCTAAAGAAGGTTGGTTGTTTCTGGACGCTATGATGCTAAATTGAGCAATAGCATTAGTTGAAATTCTTGAAAGAATGTAATTTCAAACTGAACCATTCAAGGTTATATTAAGCAAATCTATTGAAGATTACACCGGTTGAGTAATACCTTCCTGAGCTTACTCCTTTACAGGCATTGCAACCAGTGCTTTTGGAACAACTAGGAACTGTCTGAACCCAAAGCTTTGCACAAATACTTTGAGATCAAAAAATTGCTTGTCTGCTGGGGAGTGTTGGTGTTGGTTTTTTGACTTGGGGTTTTTTTCAGTGTGGAAAGATCCCAAGAATATTTTGATGTTTTTGTGAAGAAAATGTATTCCACAAATTCATGGTTGGAGTTATAGAAAGATATTGAAATAGGAACTTGCTTATTTAATCACCTAAATGAAATAACTAACATAGTAGCACTCCAGGAGTAGCTTTGGAAGTATAGTAATTGCCTCTTACTGTAGCTATTTTAAAATAATTTCTTATGCAATTTTTATTTGGGAATATTCTGCAATAACTACTACTGGCCAGTTTTCCTGTATAGACAAGTCTACATATATTTGACAGCCATTTTTGAAAAGGTTAGAGGTAAATGGAGTTTGTTTCATGCCCGATGTGCTTAAAAATTCTATTATGGATAAATGTAGACTGTGGTTTTGAAACCAGCTATAATTTTTCTTTCAAGACTAACATTTTTTGGGAACTAGGTCTGTTCTGCAGTTGAAAATCTTTCTATTCTAGGGAAATATTTTAATGTTCTATGCAATAAGCAAGTTAATGATTATGAGAAAAGATATAGAGATAAACCGAAAAATATGTTTCTACTAACTTGGTAATTATGTTAATTGCAAAATTGATTCATTGATACTGTAAATGTTCATAGTAAATGTAGTCATACTGGTTGGGTGTTTTTGAAGATTAAACAGATCTTTTATGGTGAACTGTGAAAGTTACTTTTCTTCTCCTCTTTAAAGCCAGATGCTAGGAAGAAAATATATGTCCAAACTCAAGGTGAGAGTTTTGAAATATTGACTAAAGCATTTAATTTATTTGAATCATGTACTTAGTACTTGTATGTTTATGTGTCTACCTTCTTTGCCCCAGAAATATTTTGCTGAAATGGGTATAGGTTTTGAAGCCCTGGCTCCACTGAAGTTGAGCTTTTTGCCATTGGCATTTATTGATGCTGTATTTCAGTCTCTCAGTCTAAATTTTCAACTAATTTTATTACATAATCAGTTAGCCTTCACATTCTAATTTTTTAAAACTTTTTAAACGTTTAAAAAAAGGTTATTTCAAATGTTTTAAAAACTTTTAAAAGTCTAAACCTTTAAAAAAAAGATTTCCCAGATGCCTTACAGTAGGAATCTGAAAGATAAGGTAACACTTAAGGTAACACCAACCTTTCATGGAGCATGTGGAAGTCTTGATGCTGAATGATTGTTCTCTGAAACTCCGAATTCCAGCATAATGACACCCAACAAGTATCGAATCCAAAGTATATTACCTAAGTGAGTAGTCTACGGAACATTCAGCCTCAGCATTTTAGATGTGATTACTTAAGCTCCTGATTTTATTTATCTAAAAATAACTTTCTACAGATTCCAAAACTAATTCCATTTTGTGTACGTCACTTTCAAGAAAATGAAATTATTTTCAAAACTGTTATGTTGGAATAACTCATTATGAGGTCTGTTTAGCTCATATTTAGTCTTGTGAGTTAATAGTTAACTAAAAGATTAAATTAATAGGATAGATTCATTAGTAAAATAATTAATCTTTAACATAAGGCAAAACAAAGAAATTAATATTCAGTTTAGATTGATGTTAAGTTTTTATATAAATTTAATTTATTTTCATTGCCTTATGTTAAGGACTTGAGTCTCAGCTAACCTGTATCTGTTTTGGAATAATACACTCCCTCAGATAATCCTATCTTTTATGTAGATTTTAAAAGGCCAAATTTAGTACCAGGTAAGTGAGCTTAATTCTCTGGGTTGCTAAAGAAGTTCATACACTCTGTGATTGTGCAAAATTTTCAATTGAATTTCAGTCTGATGAGTATGGAAGGATTGTGCAGACATTGTTGGGTTAAGAAAGGCTTGAGATGGGAACAGCTGTGTACGAAATTCAGTGTGCTTGACAGAAATGCTGTTCTCTTAGGGCAAGACTTCAAAAACCGTAGTTCAGCCACCCAGAGACCTATCCAACATGTTGTATTTCTGTTTTTTCAACACAGGAATTAAGACTACACCCAGTGGAACATTTGACTGGTATAGATTTCTACAAAACGCAGGTAAAACTCATTTTTTTTCTGTATTCGCTACATTTATTCTTAGTAGATGTCAATGGTGAAAGAAATTTAGAATGTGAAGGTTAACTGCTTATGTAATAAAATGACTTAATGGTATGAAAAATTAAAGCCTCTAATACTAGATTCAGGCAGAACATCGATCAGATTAGTCTGGTTAGTAAACTACCCAGACTGCCTCCAGATTGCTGGTCTGCCCAGGGCTGAATAGCACCAAAAGATAAAAAGGTCATGACATATGGGTCCGTGTCCCTTAGAAGGTAAGGTAGACTTTGGCAGCAATACCTGAGCATTCCGTTCTTTACAGCTGTGTGATAGAAACTGTGGATGTCTTTTGCAGAAGAGCAGGTGAGGTGAAGAAGGAAATACATGTTGATGTTGTATTATTTGGTCTTGATCTAGAGCCTGTCTCTGTTTTCACCAAAGTAATGGCGTGTAAGGCAGATGACTTAATTTAAAGTCACCTGATCTTGGCAATGCTTTAACTCCTCCAGCTGCCTTTCCCTGAGAGCGTAATTTGTAGGCATTTTACTGTGGTAAAAATATTTCAGTATTATATTTATCAAACTGATCTCTGATAGTACAGCTATTCCCTCTGTTACAAATGAATTCTCACTAGTAAATTGCTTTATCACATCAGTAAATGTGTGCCATTATTCAAAACCAGTGTCCAATTTTAAATTGAGCATTGTGAGGTTATTTTGTTCTCAGTAAATCATGGCACACAAGCACAGTGCCACTAAGATTAACAATTTTCTGAAGTCAAATGATTTGTCACTTGCTAGCACAGCCTTAGCGTTGATTGGATCTCGTGTCCAACCATTTTATGATTAAAAGAGCAGTCAACAGATTGAGGAGGAGGAAGCTCCCCCTGAAGTGCTTTTCATCTAATATATTAGAGACAGTTTTTTGCCTAATGTGTACTAATGCAAAAGTGCAAAATAATTCATAATGTTCATGAAAAGCAAACTAAAATGTGACTTTAACATCTGTGCCTCTTAAATAATAACTTGAGAACTGGCATCAGATTATTCAGTATTGTCAGTCATATTTTTTATGACTGTTTCATCTCATTTATCTTATCAGTCCTGTCTCTATGTCCATCTCCGGTGGCAGCCTCCAATTTCCACATCTTTTAATACTGCACATGGAGGCACATTTTTTGACTGTGCTTTTGCACTGTCCACAGACTAATTAGGAGTTCCCACTGGGGATTTGCTGTTTGAAAGTGTTTAAAATTCTACTGAACTTGGAGCAATCAGTAGAAAACTATCAAAAATACGAGGCGTTTTTGCTCAGAAGAATATGATTTTGGTAGTGTAGGCTTGCACAATGAAGTGCACTTGAAAAGATCTCTAGCTTTTATGCAGATCAAGCTGTCCAGTCTCGTTCACCTCACGGCATTTATGATTTTTTTTTCTGTTTTGAAGACTTTTTTTCAAGTAGTTCTATTCCATATCTAAAGACATTTAATGATCTTTGTGGGAAATATTTCTCCAGATTACTCTTGCCTGTATCTGTTGCAGTATCCCAGGATTGAATATAAAGAAACAGCACATGCCCTACAATGCAAATTATAATACATTAGAGGCATCGGTGTTAAACATCCTTGGTGATCAGGCCATACATTGTCAAGTTATTCTTTAAAATGAAATAGTCTCTTCAGAATATTTCAACTTTTTTCATAGAACAGACTTCTCTTCTTATGAATATTCTTTCTACTGATTTTTTTTTCACAGAAAAGCCTTAACACTTGATTCGTGTTAAATATAACACCAGTACATAAATAGTCTCTTTAAATCAGTGTAATGGCTTCAAAAAGAATTTAGTGGTAGTTTTGAGTGGCAGAATGCGTCAAATACATTTTTACTGTGGGAGCCTTCCCCCAGCCTCCGAATGTGAATGGTACTAAACCAAAAGCTAAGGAATCCCAGATTTTTGTACATTTCATTTGGTAGTTTGGGTCGCTAACAAATAGCAATTGTCTGATACAAACTGAAGCAGTGCTGTGAAAGGTTTTTTGTTGTTGTTATTGTGGGTGCAATACAATCTCAGTACAATAATCATGGGATTAGTATTTTTTTCATAGTCTCAGCAGCAGACTTGAGAGTTGCAGAGGTGATGTTTGTGTAGTGTTAGTGTGCTAGCTCCTAGCTGCAGTATTTTCAGTGTCTGGCTGTTAAAACATTTATTGGCTAAATCTACAATAAAGAAGAGCTTTTAAAGTTAATTTGCATTCTGGTTACAGTCAGCTTCACAGAGTTTGTCTTATGGGGATGAAAGACTGCAAGCAAGAGTAGTCAAACCAAAAAGCTGAACCAAGTGCAGATTTGAACACAGGCTTCAAGAAGACAATGTTTTCCGTATATTTAGGAACTCAGACTATTTAGGGAAGTATTACAGCCTGTGTCAGTCTGGAGGTCGCACTAGATGATCAAAATGTTTTTCTCTGACCTTATAATACAGGAATCTATATACAGGATAATCAGTTTTGTTAGCAATTTTAGCTGCCTTTCTATAGACTTGTGAGAGACAATGGAAATTCCGGGTTTTGCTGTAAATTGATTGACAGAAAATGACAAGACAGTCTAAATGTGAAAACTGAGACTGATCTTCTCTAACAACTTAGCTCAAGGATGGAGCATAGCTAGCTCAGATCACAGACAGGCTTGATGTCATCATACCGTGATGAAAGGCTCCTTTTGATTTCAGTGGAATGTGGCTGAAGCTTGTAAGATGTAAACCCTAATAAACACTTAGACATGATGTGGTTAGAAGATGTAGATAACTAACAAAGTCTATACTAATGAACTGAGAAAGCTCGTTTGCCCAGCAGATAAGACTAAAAACTGGTTTCCTGGAAGGTGACATAGAGTCATAGGATCAGATGCTTATTGCACTGTCAAATAAAATATGCAATATACTTTTGTAGCTTGCTTTTTGTGCTCTCAGGTAATTTCTGCTTCATGGGACGGCTGTTTTCAGAGCTTGAAAAGTTTACATAACCTGTCATGCCACAGACAGGGTTTTACAGAGGCATTATATTTTCCTAAAGCTATGCTGGAAAAGAAGACCCACATAAGAAAAATTAAATAGTAAAAGTTTGTGCAGATATATAGCTGACCATAGAAATAATGATATGTTAGCAGCAGTAAACTGTGTTCCCCAACAGATCTGAAAGCATAGAGCTTTTTTGTTGTCTATAATGATAGAAATAGATAAAAAAGGTAAAGAAATAATGAGAAAGAGGGGAAAAAAGGATTGCTGGAGAATTTTGCAGTCTCATTTTTCTGAATAAGTAGCCTGCCCCTGGAAGTTAACAGGTTCATTTAACTTCTGTTGTCTTCACAAACGTATCAGCAACTCTAGCAATTATTCACTGTTGAATGTGAATAGCAGTATAAACAATTTGGATATAGTTATTACTTCCACTTCCCCATATTTCTGAGAAACAAGTCGCTTTGTAAAATAAAAACTCAACTCCATAAAACATTAAGAAATATTTGAGATATGCAGGTGGTTAAGTACATTGATGAAGTAAGACCTAACTGAGCGAATAATTGTTGAAGTTTTGTGTCATCAGTGACTTCAATTAAATAATCTTCAGAGTCGGTATAAAGTAAGACAGCATGTTGAAGCTGTCCTGCAGTAGGACACTGCTGTGTCAAACAAGCTGGAAAACTTGTCTGGTCTGAGCAGCTTGTTTTTAATAGTTGACTTGTGAAAGAGAGACAGAATCAAACTCTTGTGCCAAGAGACTACAAGTGCTAATGTATGGTATTTCTGCTGTGTGTGGGGAGATGAACATGAAGAGTAACTACGAATTGAAAGATTTAGCGTGTCAAAAATAACATGCCAGAATTGGACAAATTTATCCATGTTTCAAACTCAAGAAAATAAAATAACCATCTTAAAGACTGAAATATCAGCAATAAACCCTTTCTAGGAGATCAGTTAATACTTTCAGATGCATAGGAGATGACAGACGATTTTCAAGAGGAGTCGAAGACCCGCTGTGGTTCATAGTGAACAGAAAGGAAAATGAGGAAGGTTATTGGGGAGGAGTGGCTGGAGAGCTGCCAGGCAGAGAGGGACCTGGGAGTGACAGCCGGCTGAACATGAGCCAGCAGTGTGCCCAGGTGGCCAAGAAGGCCAATGGCATCCTGTCCTGTGTCAGAAATAGCGTTGTCAGCAGGAGCAGGGAGGTGATCATTCCCCTGTGCTCGGCTTTGGTGAGGTCGCACCTCGAGTGCTGTGGCCAGTTTTGGGCCTCTCTCTACAAGAAGGACATTGAGGTGCTGGAGAGGGTACAGAGGTGGGCTGCCAAGCTAGTACAGGACTTGGAGCGTGTCTCCTATGAGGAATGGCTGAGGGATCTGGGGGTGTTCAGCCTGGAGAAGAGGAGGCTGAGGGGAGACCTTATCACTCTCTACAACCACCTGAAAGGAGGTTGTAGCGGGGCAGGGGTTGGTCTCTTCTCCCTAGTAACAAGCGATAGAACAAGGGGAAGTGGCCTTAAGCTGCACCAGGGGAGGTTCAGGCTGGATATTAGGAAGAATTTGTTTACTGAAAGGGTTGTCAGGCATTGGAACAGCCTGCACAGGGAGGTGGTGGAGTCACCATCCCTGGAGATGTTTAAGAGATGGGTAGGTGTTGTACTTAGGGACATGGTTTAGTGGTGTTGGTAGAGCTAGGACAAAGGTGGACTCAATGATCTTGAAGGTCTATTCCAATCGAAACTGTTCTGTGATTCTATGATTCACCCTCACCATCTTGTCATGGCTTAGATTTTGTTTCTGAACAAAACCAAAAATGGATGACTAAGCCCAAATATTATGGACTTGGTATTGTTCTCTAAAGGTCCATAGAACATAACAGTGAACTTGAAAGCAGGGGTTGGAAAATTAATCTTAAAATCTTTGATCATCCCTGACATAATAAGAAATGTTTTGACTGCAGACTGTTTTTTTCTGTTACTGAGCAAG